AAAAAAAAAAAAAAAAAAAAAAAAACGAAAAATAAAAGAACTGTTGAAACAATTTGAAAAATGGACAAATGTCATAAAGGTTCGTTCAGTGTTTGTCGGGTAGGCTGCTCCATTATTGAGACGTAAGTAACAAATACAAAACAAATGGAACACATTTGAAACAAAGAAAGATTGTCATAATGGAGCAGCCTACCCAACAAACACTGAACGAACCTTTTGCTATAACGAATATGAAAGACAAGGGCTGCTGGCTGGGTTAGTAGTGCATGAGCAACCATTTGTAGCACACGTGCCTCTGGCTCTCAAACACCTGTCCCACACGGTGTTGAAAGACTGTACTCAGTCAGTGCAATTCAGACCCTATTGTTTGAAGAACATAAGGGTCATAACATTGGTGAAGCTAGGCGCAATAAGGGCTTAACACAACGGTCGGATGCCTGTGATACAGCACCTATGAGGATGATACAGCGAGCGTATCCAGGTGTAGCTCTGAGCCCCACCCTTGCCATCTCTAATGTATATAGATGATACATAGATGAATCGTTTTCTGCGTTCAGTGATGATGCATCTGATACAAGTAGCATAGATGAACAGTGTTAGCGGCTTCCATGGTGGTGGTGTTCATTGATATTTTTAAGAATACCTGAATCTTTTCCTGACTGATGGACACTCTTTGAGGCTAGCTGAATCTCTTCCTGACTGATGGACACTCTTTGAGGCTAGCTGAATCTCTTCCTGTGTGGGACCTTACAAAGCGATCTTTTCAAGACTACCTTACAAATTGAGCTTTTCCTATAATCGTTTCAATACTACTTTATGCTTTACAAGCTTGGCTACATACCACCTACAAGTACTAAAGCCAAGGGTGCACGCGAGTGCATTATTTGCAAGCACACAGAACGATGAAACAGGAAACAAAAATCTATCTGTAGCTGGTGCAAGGAGAGCAAAGTCGCGCTGTGTACCATGGACTACTTCGTTGACTATTATGCACCTCCAAAGTACTGAGTGTGTAATACAGTGTGTTACTGTGTAAATAGTATGTGAAACTGTACATATTGTAATATTAGAGAATTTTTACCACGTAATATTGTGACAATAAACATTTATTTTGGACACATTACTGACACATGTATCACAGTTTCATGGAAAATTATGAACATTCTACTGTATACATATTGTAAAGGTCACAAATATGCATCATATACGATAAAAGAAACAAATAAAACCGCATTGGAAATGCATAGAAAAAATATTTGAAAATATATTTGTGGCAACACGTGGTGCTTGAATGGCCTGCGCGACCGTGTCTGGGAGCTTCACACACGGGCGACCAGCCCCTGATGACGTCACAGCGCACCTTGTCCATGCCCTCACAGCCAAAGTAAGTGGAATTTGGTAATTATTTTTACATAGACATGTTCAGGGACGGTAATTTATCATTTTACAAAGAAAAATTATATTTTGGGGAACATTTGATGTCATGCACACTAGGGAAATTTCACAATAAACACAGTGCATCACACTGGTTACATGGGGGACACTCGTTTTGTATGACGTCCGTTTCACATGACGAACATGGAACGGATTAAATTCGTTATGCGAGGTACCACTGTATTATGTTCATAAAACAATAAACAAATAGTTTTGCTGTTATTACACTATATACACAGGTTATATATAAGTATCTGCATGTTTTGTACACCATAACGAACTACTAAGTTGGTCTTGTGAGTCAAAAAGCAACGAGGAGTGACCGCCAAACACCAGCGAGCCACTCACTGCCACTCCCTCCCTCCCTCAACACCACCTCACTCACCCTCATTCACCTCCCACAATACTGTTTTTGTATTTATTCACTATACACAGACATTATATATACGTATTTACATGTTTTGTTCACCATAACTGTACATCTAAGCTTGTATGGTGAGTAAAGGCACAAAGACGTTGCTACTCACACAGTCAGCTGATCGGCGGCCGCCCTCAAGGCGAGACGCACTAATATTTGTCCTCCAACAATATTGTTTGTGGTGTTATTACGCTATATACACACATTATATATAAGTATCTACCTGTTTTATTCCCCATACCTGTACAAATTAGCTGGTATGGTGCCCAAAGACCATAGTGGCCATCAGTAAACACCATGCCAAGTCGTGCAGACTATGCTCCTCCCTCACCAAAATGGCGGCTCCCAACCTTCTCCTCTCGCTGTTATCTCACACTATACACACGTTATATATAAGTATCTACATTTGTGTTCACCATAGCGAACCACTAAGCTGGTATGGTGAGTGCAGTCAATAAATGGTGGCCACACACAGTCAGAAGACGACGCCACAACCCTCCCTCCCACAGCCTTACTCCTCCCTCCATGGAGCACAGTGCTAAATATCACCACAATCCTGCTATTATCAGAATCCTGGTCAGTTTTATCACAGTCAGGGTGCTTCAGTAATACTATCATTGCTAAATAATAGCAGTATCATTTATATTATGGTATTTGTAGGCGATGCTGTGGTCACAAGCTGAACAGCGGTGCTGTGAGCTCGTGCTGTGTGCACCAGCCTTGGTGGCTTGCTCAATACTGATGCTATAACACCCAAGAATGTTGGCCTGGATTTTTTTTCTAGGTGGCATCTGGCAACTATCAGTCGTGGCTGTACTATAGCTGCCCCATCCCAGGCGGGGCATTTAAATTATAGCGCTAGACACGAAATCATATATAAATGATGTGCGCGGTTTCGGTTTTGTCACTGATATCATTTATACATGATATGCGCGGTTTGAGGGTTAAAGCACATTGGTAGCTCCGATTGATTACACTGACAGCTTGATTGGTAATTTAGACAAGATTAATAGGCACCATACAGCAAATTGATAGTGCGTATTAGAAGACAGCAATGATCACAATGGTAAAGTTGTTTGGATTAGGTACATAAAGATTGAGAGATTGGGTAGCACTAGATACATTGCAATTTTAAAGCAAAAAGGTAGGAAACTATGAAGATGAAATTAGGTACTTTTTAGTTTTGTTTTGAATGATGCAAAAGTTGGACAGCTTTTCAATTTATTAGGGTGTGAGTTCCACACACTAGGTCCCTTTATTTGCATAGTGTGTTTACACAGATTAAGTTTGACTCTGGGGGATATCAAAGAGATATTTATTTCTAGTGTGGTGATTATGGGTCCTATTACATCTGTCCTGAACAAAATAAGTATATGGAGCACCACTTGGCAAATGGAATTTAATGTGAATAAATGCCATATTATGGAATGTGGAATTGGAGAACATAGACCCCACACAACCTATAAATTATGTGTAATTACCTAAGTGTAACTATACATATTATGGTCACATGGTATATGTGAGAAATCTTTAAAGAATTCTGATAAAGAAAGAGATCTAGGTGTGGTTCTAGATAGAAAACTGTCACTTGAGGACCACATAAAGAATATTGTGCGAGGAGCCTATGCCATGCTTTCAAACTTCAGAATTGCTTTTAAATACATGGATGGCGATATACTAAAGAAATTGTTCACGACTTTTGTTAGGCTAAAGCTAGAATATGCAGCGGTTGTGTGGTGCCCATATCTTAAGAAGCACATCAACAAACTGGAAAAGGTGCAAAGACATGCTATTAAGTGGCTCCCAGAACTGAAGAGCTACGAGGAGAGGTTAGAGGCATTAAATATGCCAAAACTAGAAGACAGAAGAAGAAGAGGTGATATGATCACTACATACAAAATAGTAACAGGAATTGATAAAATCGATAGGGAAGATTTCCTGAGACCTGGAACTTTAAGAACAAAAGGTCATAGATTTAAACTAGCTAAACACAGATGCCGAAGAAATATAAGAAAATTCACTTTCGCAAACAGAGTGGTAGACGGTTGGAACAAGTTAGGTTAGAAGGCGGTGGAGGCCAAGACCGTCAGTAGTTTCAAATGTTATATGACAAAGAGCGCTGGGAAGACGGGACACCACAAGCGTAGCTCTCATCCTGTAACTACACTTAGGTAATTACACTTAGGTAATTAGTAAGCAACATGATAAGTCGTGCAGACGACGCACCTCCCTCAACAAAATGGCGGCTCCCAACCTACTCTTATTGCTGTTATTACACTCTATACACACGTTATATATAAGTATCTACATTTGTGTTCACCATAGCGAACCACTAAGCTAGTATGGTGAGTGCAGTCACTAAAAGGTGGCCACACACAGTCAAAGACAACACCACCACCCTCCCTCCCACAGCATTACTCCTCCTTCCATGGAGCACAGTGCTAAATATCGCCACAATCCTGCTATTATCAGAACCAGTTTTATCAGTCAGGGGTCTTCTGTAATAATATCACCGGTAAATAATAGCAAGAACATGTATATTATGGCATTTTTAGGCGATGCTGTGGTCATAAGCTGAACAGCAGTGCTGTGAGCTCATGCTGCATGCATCAGGCTTGGTAGCTCACTCAATACTGAGCCCCCTCGCACCCGGGAATTTGGCCCACGATTTAAAAAAAAAATGGTATCTGTTTACAAGAGCCCTGATGAAGATGTGGTGAATCCCGTGTATCCACGGGCTGTTTAAATCTTGTGCAGTACTCCAAAACATCATATAATGCCGAGCGCAAGTTACTGCAAGTCACTCAATGCATCATATGATGTTTTGCGCAACTAAAGGGTTAATCGAGTGGATACTGTATTGTAGCATTTAACTTTCTAAGTATTACTTGTTATTTTTTAAAGTTATACCAATTTGTGGCTTGCATCATTTTTTTTTTTAAATTTTGTGATGATCTTTGTTGCTAGCTGTGACCAGTAATATTATTATTATTTTCATTATTACTATTTTATTATAATATTGCATTGATGCAGTTATCGACTTTTAGGCTATCATTTGAAGTAAAACAATACCAAAACTGCCTCATTGATAATAATATGCAAATCAAATTTTATTATTTGCAGAAATATATAAATTGTTAATAGTTACCTCTGCAGGAAGGAAAACAGACTTAAGTGCATCCTCTTCCCGAAATTTTGCATCAAGTTTAGCAATAACTAGCTTGGTGTAGTGAGTACCCAACCCACATAGGTCCTGAAGGAGTTGACTGGCGACTTTATCTCCTTCCACTTCATAAGGCCATGCTAATTTCTGCCATAAACCTTTTATCTGAAAATATATACAATGGTATTTAATGTGCTATGTTTCCCAATGAAAGTTAGAAATGTAGTTACCTATGTGTAGTTAGTTACATGATAAAAGATATGCTTGTTGTGTCCAATCATCTCAGTGCTCCCTGTCATATCACGCTTTGAAACTACTAATGGTTTTGCCCTCCACCCACCTTCTCACTTAACTTTGTTCCAACAATCTACCACTCTGTTTGCAAAAGTCAACTTTATAATATTTTCTGGGGGGAGCCCTGTCAACTCCCTGGAGCTATCCAGGCTAAATGGATATGTATAACTTTCTGGCATCAGTCAATGAGCATGGAGTTCTTGCCTACCGGGAACCATGAGCCAGAACCTGGCCGGGGGGGGGCCAGGTTCTGCCTCAAGCAATGAGGCAGAACCTGCATGAGGAGCAATAGCCTATAAACCCCCGTGTGGTTGGGAGCATTCTATGTCTGCCATTGACCGGATCTAGCACCCAGAAAGGTAGGCGCCCCATAACAAACCCCTATTCTGGTGAAACTATTGCTACTGAAAGCCAAACGAGTGGACAGAACTCCCTAAACAAAAATTAGCAAATGAACACAATGTCATCATATAATAATAATAATAATAATAATAATAATAATAATAATAATAAATAATAATAAATGTTTATTTAGGTAAGGTACATACATACAAGAGATTTTACAAAGTTTGTTGGATTAATAGATATATCACAGCGCCACTATCTGCACAACCCCCCCCTCCCCGGAAGGGAGGAAGGGAGAGCCCCAGACTGCCATGCTGGCGATCCACACTTCAGTTCTCAGGCTGATGTGCTACTGGTGTGGTCTTGTGCCTCTAGCTCAAACGATTTGTCTCAGATTCTGTTCCTTGTGGTGTGGACTGTTTCTACTGGTGGTGTGTGAGCCAGGATTAATATTCTTCGGTACTCGGGCATGCACCTAGGGGCCACCTTCTCTAGGTGCCCTGTAAGTACCACCTTTGGGGCTTGGGGCCACCTTCCACGGGTCTCCTCGGGATCTACCTCCGCCGTGTCTTTTATTGTTTGGTACTTGGTTGCCCTTGGATTCAACTGGGGTCTTTGATGGCCATGTTTGCCTCTGGGTAGGAGGTAGTTTTCATCACCGGTAGAGGTGCGGGGTACTGCACAGCTAGTTTCCACCTCTTACAGCAACTGGCACTGTTCCATCTAGGTACGTTGTCCTCTTGCAGGCTTTTGCCTTTGGTTTTTTTCTGCCTGGTGAGGGGAGGGGGTCTGCCTTGGTAGTTGCCCCTTCTATGTTGGGGTGTATATATCTATCTTTATAAATATTCTCAGTTTTTGTGTGGTTGGTGGCACCCCTTGCTTGGCCTCCGTGAGTGAACACGTCCCAGGGGTTCAGCTATTAGCAGATTGTTTGGTAGTCATGGGCACCAGTTTGCAGTACCCTGCCTGGGCTTCCCTTAGCGTGTTAATAAGGCTAAGAGCCCTGGGAAACTCCAAGGGGGCTCCATGGTCTGATGGATGTGACCCTTGAGTCCCCTCTCGCTACGTGCGACTCAGAAGGTGGCTCTGTCCCCTTGTCTCTGGGAGACAATCACCGGTTGTGCCTCCGTCATGCTATCTACTGGGTCGGAGATTATTTTGTCCCGAAATCATGCGACATTTGTTGCCTGTACGAGCTCTGATTCATCCAAGATACTGATCATAATATGAGGGTGCAAGAGGCAGCTGCATTGCTTACTAGGTTTGGGTTGTTGCAACGTGCTAGGTTAGTTGCTTCCACAGATGCCCCGAGACTGCCGCATTTCGGTTTTAGGACCAGGACTTGGTGGTGGGATTCACTTTGGCTCTGGTTCTGTCCTCCCTCCCTTGTCCTTCCCCTTCTGTTGTCCATCCAGTTCCTCCCTCCCCTTGCTTCCGGCTCCGAAGGGTCTGAAGCTTTTGGAGACCATGCAGGGTTTAGTTGGTGTTAAGAACCGGGCAGTCTCCGGGGAGTCCCCTTCCAGGGTTACCTTGAGGTTACCTTGAGGTGCTTCCGGGGCTTAGCGTTCCCGCGGCCCGGTCGTCGACCAGGCCTCCTAGTTGCCGGACTGATCAACCAGGCTGTTGGACGCGGCTGCTCGCAGCCTGACGTATGAGTCACAGCCTGGTTGATCAGGTATCCTTTGGAGGTGCTTATCCAGTTCTCTCTTGAACACTGTGAGGGGTTGGCCAGTTATGCCCCTTATGTGTAGTGGAAGCGTGTTGAACAGTCTCGGACCTCTGATGTTGATAGAGTTCTCTCTCAGAGTACTCAGGGTGGCGGCGGAGGCATTCAAACCTGATCCTCCTGCTGAAGATTCTGGGTCTGACCAGTCGACTCCCTTCATTCCTGCTTTTCAGTTGCTCCTGCCTTTTCTTTAGAGGCATGGGGGGGAGGGTGGAGGACGGCTCGGCCCCGGATCCTCGGGGTGTGGTTCCTGGGGCCGAGGAGGAGTTGACTTGGGGTTCTTGGGCTCCATTGGACCCCGCTTGGGTTTTTGTACCCTCGGAGCGGGGCTTGGTGTTACAGGGTGTGGAGTTCTCTTTTGCTCCCTCCTTGTACGAGTTAGATTTGGCATCTACCCTTCACCGGGTTTGGTTCCGTGGCACAGACAGTTCTTCGGTTCTATCTTGCCAGAGGTTTCTGGCTTTCTGAGTCCAGTCACAGTGGGTGCGGAAAGCCTTTGCAGCTTACCTCCTGCGCGACTGGGATTTTGCTTTCGTGAGGGATCCACGTTCCTTCATGTATGGATGTTCGTGTCTTTACTGGGTTCATTACGAAGTTCCGGAGTTGACCTGGTTAGCGGACTGCCCTTTCTTCTCTTTGGAAGCATTACCTTCGGTGGTGTGTAATTACCCAAGTGTAGTTACAGGATGAGAGCTACGCTTGTGGTGTCCCGTCTTCCCAGCACCCTTTGTCATATAATGCTTTGAAACTACTGACGGTTTTGGCCTCCACCACCTTCTCACTTAACTTGTTTCAACCGTCTACCACTCTGTTTGCGAAAGTGAATTTTCTTATATTTCTTCGGCATCTTTGTTTTGTTAGTTTAAATCTATCACCTCTTGTTCTTGAAGTTCCAGGTCTCAGGAAATCTTCCCTGTCAATTTTGTCAATTCCTGTTACTATTTTGTAAGTAGTGATCATATCACCTCTTTTTTCTTCTGTCTTCTAGTTTTTGCATATTTAATGTTTCTAACCTCTCCTCGTAACTCTTACCCTTCAGTTCTGGGAGCCACTTAGTAGCATGTCTTTGCACCTTTTCCAGTTTGTTAATGTGCTTCTTAACCCTTATGTTGCTAAGGGCTATTTGCCCATTCTCACCCCCACAGTCACATAAAAAAAATATCTTCTAAACCTGTTAACCAACGTGCTGCGCCGAGTTTATTGTGAAATTTCCCTGGTGCGCATGAAATAAAGTACAGTGGCACCTCGATTAAAGAGCGGCTCTATTTACGAGCATTTCCAGTAATGAGCAAGCCACTCACAGCAAATGTGTCTCTATTGACGAGCTTCACCTCTATTAATGAGCAAAACCACATGGTGCTTCCTAGCGTCTCGCGGGTTCTAGCAAATTCTTGGACGCCTCCGACCCCAGTGTTGTTGTTGTATCGTGCATGACAAGCATCCCTCTGCATTTATTTGTGCTTTTCTTTGTTTTTTTGTGGTTTTGTGACTACAATTTGTAATGCACGATGTCACCAAAGAAGCTGCTTGCTAAAGATAGTGTTGTCGAGATGAAGAAAGGCACAATTACTGTGGATTTGAAGAAGGAAATTAAAGCAAAGCACGAGCGTGGTGTCTGTGTGACTGATCTCACAAAAGAGTATGGCAGGGCCTCATCAACAATTTGCACCATTAGTAAGGGGATGAGGAGGTAAAGGAGGATGCTGCCTCTTCCAGTGAGATCAGGGAAGTGTTGGGAATGTTTGAAAAGGTGACCGCATTCTTGGAAAAACTGCCCTGATAAAGCAGTAACAACCCGGTGTCTGAACATGTTTAATGACAATTTGCTGTCTTGTTTTAGGAACATCCTAAAACAAAGACAAAAGCAATTGTCAATAGATACGATCTTTGCAAAAGTAGAGAAAAGAAGAGCCAGTGATAGTGAACCACAACCCGGTCCCAGTGGGGTGAAATTCCCAAGAAGAGAGAGCCCGCCTGACTCAGAGGTGGATCCTCCTTCCACACCATAACCCCTCTCCATCTTCCCACCTCCCCATCGTCTCCCTCAAGCCAGCAACGACTCTTCATAAGGTAAAGTAAACAAGAAAACAGTACAACAAAACATTTATAATTACATGTGCAGTATTATATTTACATAAAAAAATGTCATACAAGTATGGATGTTTTTGGGAGTGGAATGGATTAAATTTAATTCCTTTATTTTAAATGGGGAAATTTGTTTCTTAAGACAAGTTTTCCACATAATGAGCTCCATGCCAGAACGAATTAAATTCGTTAATAGAGGTGCCACTGTATTCCCCAAAAAATCTTTTTTCTTCGTAAAATGTTAAATTCCATTCCCTGAACATGTCTATGTAAAAATAAATACCAAATTCCATTTACTTTGGCTGTAGGGACGTGGACAAGGTGCGCTGTGACGTCATCAAGGCCTGGTCGCCCGTACGTGAACCGCCCAGACACGGTCACACGGGCCATTCAAGCACCGGGTGTTGCCACAAACATATTTTCAATTATTTGTTTTATGTATTTCCAATGTGGTTTTATTTGTTTTTTTTATTGCATATTATGCATATTTGTGTCCTTTACAATATGTATGCAGTATGATGACCAGACCACACACTAGAATGTGAAGGGACGACGACGTTTCGGTCCGTCCTCGACCATTCTCAAGTCGATTGTGATGAGGAAGTAGAGACAGACAATAAATAGGCACAAGAGATGAGGAGCAAAGTAAGGTGTAGTAGAGGGGTTAGTAGTAGGAACTGCAGAGGGCCTATTGGCCCATACGAGGCAGTTCCTA